TTGTTCTATTGTCTATGTTAGTTGACTAGTGTGTGTGATTTTGGTTGTGTGACTTATGTAATTTATTATATGTATACATCTATTATCAAAGGGACTATTTCCACATTCTAGGTTTTTTGCCGATATGGATATATGGAAAATAAAAGAAATGAATGAATGAATTTGCTGTCACAGGATTGAGTGAGTGTAGATGGGGTTTTGATTGGTAACTGGATTTACAGATTTTAACTACAAGTAACTATAGTGCTCCCTCTAATTCATACTCTCTGCAGTTCACTACAAAACGTACTAAATCTTCTTAGTCTGTAGTGTCTTCACCATTTGTTGCCTAGTAACAGCTTACAATGGTGGACGTTTCCCTTAATCTGGGTTCTGAAGCTATCCCAGTGCCTCAGCTACCAACTTCTAACAGCAGCATTTCACAACAGCTGTACTGCCGTTCTGACTCGCCCACTAATTCAACAACTAACTCTTCAATTCCCTGCACTGCACTAACTGAACTGTCAAAGTCAAAGTTACTTTATGACTGTGGTGGTGTACTGCCAATCACTGCATCTTGGTACCAAGCCACTTGAAACTCATGACCAGATTTTTTTTCAACTCAAACCCTATTGTCATAGTCCTCATGTAACATCCTCTCTGATGAGAAGTTTTGAATATGCTTGGCCTTTCATGAAGTGTACGTATTGCACATATAGCATGTTATTGAAAATTCTTCATTTTGGCCTATATACAAGTCCTCTGTTACTACAGACTTTGCAAAGCAGATCATGATGATCTTATATATGTCATGTTGCAATGGTAGCTTAGTCACTTCATCAGTCGTAAGCTTGACCATCACCAAGTTTAAGCCTCTTATACTTTCACTGAACTGAGCTAGTTCAGTCACGTGATATAGAATTGGGATGGACCACACAGAAAACACCACTTGCAACAGTATTTCCATTGCTTTGGGCGTGCCGCTACTTAGCAACGGACGTTGTCTCATTGTTTGTTTCCCGGTTGTTGCCTTGCAATGGGTCTACATGCTACACTGTTTCTAACATCTGCTTTAATGCTGCTGATGTTTTGGTGATCCATTGCTTAGGGATGGCTTGCTTGTTTATTGAGCCATTACCTAACAGCAGATGATTTTTCAGTTACCATGCAACAGTGTGATACAGTTATATCTGAATTTAATAGAAAATTCTTGAATCACAACCCAGAGGACCTCTTCACCCACAGTAAAGAACATCAACATTCAAGACCTTGACAACAGAAACTATATTGGTTTTCAACAGAAGATAAATGAATTATAGTGTTTATTATTGAAAGAGGAAAACTTGAATTATTATCACCTTAAGAAAAAAAATAATTTTTAACTCTTTAACTTTTAGGTAAATATACTGTATTTACGCATGTATAGGCCGCATATTTTTTGCCAAAAATTCAAGAGGAAAACTGGGGTGCAGCTTATGTTTGAAATATTCGAAATCACACTTCATTTAAAAAAAAAATTATATTCATAATTAGTAATACTCCTGAAATAATATTCCAAGAAAATTATTTTTTCTATAATTTCTGTCTGAAAATTGTGCTGCGGCCTATACATGCGTAAATACGGTAATTAGTTCTTCTCTTAACAAGGGGCTGATAACAGTGAAACAACTTATGACATAAGATATATGTAAGGATGACCATGTAAAACTGAAATATGTTGTACGAATTAGAAAAAAAGAAATATGACAGTATAGCAATAACAGTGCAGTCATTGCATTTTATACTTACAAATGTTATTATGTTGTACAGTAGAGCCCTTGTTTAATGTTTATTGATTTAAGGGTTTTCTTCTTTTAATATTCAATTTCAATGATTCCAAGTAAATAAACTCAGTGCTAAGTTACCTCCATTTCAAATTTTCTTCTGTTTGTTGTTCAGACCCACTGCTTCCTAATGAAAACTTAAATGAGGTTTTCATTATACATAGTACTTAATAATAAATCAGACCCACAATTATTTCACCACAAGAAATATTTTTTTCACACATTCTGCTTGATGAATGGCTTGTCCCATTGCCACTTTGATAGAAATTTGGAGCTGTCTCTAGATAAAAGCATTGCAATAATGAGAAAGTTCAAGTATTCTCATATAAACAAATAGAGGTCAGATAATTTGTTGGTTTCATGCTTGTCACTGTTAGAAATGATTTTGAAATAAATGACATGTTAAAGACTGTAGTCACTACTTTACAATTTATAAATTTCTTTACAGATTTTCAGTTTGAAACTGTTGCAGTAGTTAAAGAAAATTTTCCTGGATCTCTAAAGGCCTTAAAAGGGAAGAAATTTTGTCACCCAGGTTTCAGCAAGTCTCAGTTATGGAGTGACAGAGTACTCAAGGTTAAGTAACAGCAAGGTTCAAAGTGTCTGTTTCTAAAGGGCCACAGACATCAACTCAGAATTTGCACACTATCTGTAGCTTTGCTTTTCTGGGCTGGATATCTTAATTAATTTCCTGACAACTTTAGTTATAATGCTTTATATGCTACATACAATTATCTTATAAAACATTAATCTTAATTTACTTATTGTTGGTTAAGAGCAGTGAAAGAAAAACCTTCTGTCATGTCTCAACATTAAAAGTTAGCAACAGAACAGAAATTGCTTATTACTATGGAGATATTCTTAAAGAATAAGGTTGCTAGAATTCCATTTACTGTCTGTATTTTTTGAGGAGTTCTATTCAACAGGAATTAGCTTCTTTTCTTGTTGTTTGAGTCGCTATAACTAAGAGTACTCAAATTCCTTTCTCTTCTTGTATTGTTGCTGCAGTAAGAGCTCCTACATAAAAAAGAATTAAAGATAACAGAAACTGATTAATTTTATTTACCTTAATTCAAATTAAGTTGTTGTAAAGATTATTGTTTTCTGAGATGTGACATTATGTAGTCTGGTACATTGTTACTGAAAGTGAAATAATATGCTGCCTTCATCTTCAGGAAAGTATCCCTCTTCTACCCTGAAGATGGGGACAGCACATTCCTCTAAAACATTAGTAACAATCTACCAGACTATACGGTGTTTCATCCCAGAAGGAAGTTATCTTTGTACTCACTGCCATAAGAACCTGAGATCTCTTGAATATACTGTATCTGCCCTTAGTCACCAAACAGTCTTCATATCTTATAAATCAGAAATAGCTGAACTATGGCCCTCCAAGTAAATTTCATTAATGTGTAAAAAATTATGTCTATTAGCATATTAAAAGACACTCCCCTATGGAATTGGTTAATGAGTATAATTTGGTAGACTTTGTCCTGATGTGATTATTTTTTTCTTTTCACTGAAATTGAACCATTATAATAAAGGTACTTCTAAAAAAGATGAAAACACTTATTCTGATTTCATGATAAACCAGTTAACTGGGTAAACTTCAGCAGTAAATGTAAATAATAAAATATACACTTGCAGATGATCTAAGAGACTGGTGAACTGTTGTGTATTTGTAAGATTTGAGGCTTTCACGGCGGTGACTATGAAGAAAGCAGTCTTCTGGGCTTTGGCGCCGTGTATATGTGGTGTTGTGTATTTGTTGCTTTCTGGTAGTTTAGCATATCAGCAAACAATTAAAATGTAAAAAAAGGTAAAAGGTAAAGCTGTCCCTGTGTTTAATTAATTAAGCATATGCCATGAAGACACATAGGAGAGTGGAGATATTGCTTCAGCATTCATGACCGCAGCACCAGTTGGAGGCATGTGGTCAGCTTCTTGCCCCTGCCACTTTACCCCTGGGGAAAGAGCCCCCGGTATCCATTGGATAGGAAACTTGGTGGGACCCAGAGCCAATGTGGATGCTGTGGAGAAGAGAAAAATCTTGCCCATGCCAGGAATCGAACTCTGGCAGTCCAGCCCATAGCCTGTCACTATGCTGATTGAACTATCCTGACTCATGAAATGTAGGACTATTTATACCTAATTCCAATATTGAATAAACAGACATACACACAGACATCACATCACCATTATATTTTTGGGTTTAGCACTTGGTGCAAAAAAAAAAAAAAACAGAATATATATATATTCTCTAAAATGTATGTCTTATGAATTTGTTGTATGAAGAGCACAAAATAAATGCATAATTATTAGGTCTCCATATCTGTTTGCTACATGTTTCAGCTCCAAAATTACTGAACATACTTTGAAGAAATTTGATATAGAAAAGCTGTATCAAAAGCCCCTAAGACTTTTCAGTTTTATGTTCACATTTATGATAAAACTTCTGCTTTACATAAAGATCAAAGCAGACTTTTCTAGGTAAGGGGGAAAAAGACTGCTTTACATAAAGATCAAATTAGACTCTTCTAGGTAGAGGGGAAAAAGGTAAAGCCATCCCTGTAACAGGCTGTGGAGGTCCATAGGGTTGTGAGACATCGAGGCTCCCACATTTTCTAGATAATTGGTTCACAGGTGAGGGTGAGGTTGTCAGCCTTACGTGCCGGCAGCCATTTATCCACAGAAGATTCCTGAAACTCATTTCTGTTAGAGGCTGAATTGACTCCATGGCCATAATGAGGCTGGAAGGATTAGGTCTATTGGAAAATCCAATGACCTCATTGGGAATCGAACCTGTGACCTTCAAGCTTGTAGCATAGTGCTTCAACCAGTTACACTACCACATGCCCCCAAACTTTTCTAGTTTTCTCAGAAATGGCTCATCATATGAAGACAAAATACAAAAGTCAATAAGATCAACTTTTACTCAGGATATGTCATATATTTAATGAAATACAAGCAAAATTATCATTACAGGCGTTACAAACTTTTCTCTATTATGAATTACATTTGTCATCAATAGACATATAGTTTACATTTCATTTTTAAATTTTTATCACTTGTTTCTGCCATGAGAGATCAGCAAAAATGGATGACACTTGGAATTACTGGGTTCTTGGAGCTAATCTCAATCACTGAGGTTAGTTCTTTCTAAGGTGCCCAACAGGTGTCTCCCGCCTCACCCAAGGGTGGAAACAGATCCAGTTTCCAAAACGTGTTTTCAATTTTTTTTTAGAATACTGGGCAATGAACAAAATTCAAAACCCAGTAATTCTGAGTGTCGTATGCCTTCATTGGAGCCCTTTGGAAAAATGGAAGAGCTGAAAGATATGAAGACATTGGTCTGTATCCACAATAAAAGAGCATCAAGCCCATAAGGGAATGCACATTCTCAAAGAACACATTTGGGAAATATGTGTGTGTTATATGGAAGGTCACTTTTTACCTCTTGCTAGTATAATCTGGCTTTGGGTGTTCAACAGTGTTTTGAGCTTTTTATATTAACCTTCATGTGAAAGCGTGCTAACAATTTTATTACAAGTACCTCATTTTTGGCATGGGACATCCTGGGACATCAAGAAAAGTGCTGTAACATCTGAAGAGTTGGAGGCTGCATGAATTTGTCACCAATTTATTGTGCATATAAATTTGTGCAACCAATTATACTCTTTTGTTTGAGCAGCATTTTGAAAGAGTGGTCCTGACAAGCACTAACAGTGTTAGCTGTGATGAATCTTCAAGGACAGCTGCTGAAGATGAACTCAGTGCTTTGTCATCTTTCTTCGAAAGTGCATGTCGTCCTGGGGAATGGGTACCCAGTGATCATTTGGACAAAAGATTTAGTAAGTATTTCAACTGACTTAGAATATTTGTAGTTTGTCATGTGGACATCAGCCAATTTTCAGGGAAATTTAATGGATGATTAAATACTTTCTTATACTCACAGAAAATTGTAATATAATGGGTGTAAGAGGGATGAAAGTTTGATTTACTCTCACTTATATATACAATGTGCAATGTTGTAAACCTTGAATAAATTCAATAAGCAATCACTACTACAAGCAAAGATGCCCATGGCTGAACTTTAAACAAACTTCATACATTTTATGCAAATTTTACATTCTGCTTTATATGGATGTGAAACTTAGTCTCTCAATCTGACAGAAGAATTAGGATTGAAGAGTAATATGTACAAATTGCTGAGGACAATATTTTGATCTAAAAGAGCTCACATTCATGACAATGGAATGAAGTAAAGGAAGTTTAATAATTTTTAATCTTTGCTTAGTGTTGCTAGGGTAATGAAATCGAGAAATATTAAATTGATAAGGCAAGTGGTATGACTGTGGGAAATATTGATATTCAAGTTCAATAACAAGAATTCTATTAGCAACTGAATAACTATCATGTGCTTAAGGAAAGACCTAAACCATGAAGTTAGCTAGTGGTCACACACTGGTTAACAATTACTTCATTTCAGTTTATATCTTTATGAAATATTTACTAATGCAGTGCTTATTATCTCTTGACAGAGAATTTATCTTCAGGCCAAGGATTGGAGATGTTTTGTGCCCTACATTCAAGCACATTGACCACTAGTCAGAAGACAAATTGAGGCCAAGTAGTTAATGTTTTGCCATCAGCAAATATAGAGTTTTGTGAGCAGTGCCAAATTTGAATGCCAAATTTAATTATGCAAATTAGGACATACTGAATATTTAGGGTACATTTCATGAAGCTGTAATTAATAAGTAATTTTAATGGATCACAGTTTTACTGGATGTCAGAGAGACACAGGTTTGGGTGGCAATCTGGATATCATAGCCTTTCTTGCCATTTAAGCTTCTAGTCAGAGAATGACATTTGTACAAGAAAATCTGTTATTGATTTTTCTTTCCTGTAATAGTTTATCTTGTGGGTGGCTTAAGTACAGAGTTTATGGCCAAGGTACAATTCCACAGAATGGTTATGAATTTTTATGTGTCATGATATCCAAGAAGGCTCATGCACTCGCCAAGATGCCCTTTCAGTGGATCCAGAAATTCCTCATTTAAGACTGAAGAAAGTTGAGAATTAACCTTTAACGTCCAAAGTGCCCTGATCGGGCCAGGGATGAGTATGGTCGTTGTGGCCAAAGTACCCCATTTTGGCCAGTCGGGCATTTAAACTCTACTAGTGGAAGCATGCATTCACACCACTAGTACAAGCGCATGCACAGTCCTAAATATTTATTTTTAAATGCAGTAATTACCAGACAGACTTGAGTAAAACCCTAATAGAAGAATTCAAATGATACCTAAGTGAACAACAGCAAAAAAGATTATACATATAAGTTATGCCCAAACTCATCCATGAGCCAGTACTTTTATTGCAGATTCTGCAGATTGTGTTAAAAATATATAGTAAAATTCGATGTATATACCTCTTTTGTTGTTATCTGCTTGATGTATATATAGGCTGAAATGAAACTACAATATTCGATTTCACTGTGAATGCACAGAAAACAGATCACACTTTGTATCTCAGCCACGATGAAATTGTCTGTTAACAACCCTAGAAAGGGCAGTATCTCTTGCAGCTATAACGGAAAGTCTTAGCACTGAAGAAGGGACCCCTCTAGCTTTCTCTTGATAGCCATTCTTTCAATCTTGTGTCTTTTAATCAAAAGATTCGAAAATCCGAAGAGTGTAAGCAGTGCTTACACCAGGGACTGCTAAAATTTGTCAAGTGTTACAAACAGAAATTAATTTATAATGCAGAACAACTCTGTGAAGTACTGGGAAACCATTTTTGCAGTACTCATCAAAATTAAAAGAAAAAAAAAATGAAAATAGAATATAACTCTGTATAAAATTTTTCAAACCTTCCGTTATAATATGTTCTTTGCTGATACAAACAAAGTTAATTCCATGTAAGATTTGAGGCTTTCACAGCGGTGACAGACACAGTCTGCTTTTACCGGTTCTCACGGTCTCTTCGCTTGCAGATTTCTTATATTTTTTCTTCTACCCTGAAGATGGAGGCGATACGTTCCTCCGAAACGTCGGTTAACACCAAATATACACGGCGCCAAATCCCAGAGGACTGCTTTCTTCAAAGTTAATTCCATCCATTTATCATAGAAATTGAGTTAGATACAGCATTTTTAAACACAATGCTTAAAATTGTATAAGCACCCTGACAGGAATGGACATTTAAATGCAGAGTAGCGATGGGGATTTAAACACACATCAGCAGCAGGCATTTAAATAAACCCTGGCCAGCTCAAGCTATCGCCATTTCAGAAGTCCGGCGTTTAAAGGTTAAACTGATTGCATGCTGCCATCTAATGCCAAGGCCACAAGTGCAGAGAGCTTTACTTCCATACACGTTATGCCTTCATGCAATTGCGGTGCTTAGGCACAGCAGTAACTTTCTCTTTTTGTATGTTTACAGAGAGGAAATATTCAAACCTGTGTAATTTGTGTGATCCAGCTGCTGGATGTTACCATAAACCTCAAATGGATTCCAGTGGGTATGCTACTCTTGACTGTCTCACAAAGAAAGGTGGTGATGTTGCTTATGTAGCATACTATTCTGTACAGGAATACTTTGGCGTAAGTATTAAAAAAAACACATGTCAGTAACATACATACTGGCATATGAAATATTTATCTGTTAATTTTTTAATATAGTGATGAATCACTGTGTGAATGTTATGTTATTTTTGATGTGAGGTTGTTGATATTTGACATGTCCAATTGTAATTCTCTACAGCTATGGGTGAAATAAATAAATAATAATAATAATAATAATAATAACAACTGCTACTGTGTTTTTGGTCACATGATCTCATTATGGTAACTAACAAGGTGATTAATAATGGGAAGCTATTTCTGCCGAGAAAAATGCCAAAATTGAAATAACTTGTATTGTAACAAAGGATGTTCTCACACAGCATAAACAGTCTGACACCAAATATAGTTAGTATTATTTCCTTAATGACATTTTCCACAGTATGTAAAAATGGATAAATTGTTAGATAGAAATATTAGGAAATGCATCCTTAAATTATTTGACTTCGTGATTTCTACAAATTTATGTAGTAAAATGTACAAATTCTGAGTAATGCTCTCAGGCTTGTGTACCTTAATGTAGTCTGTAATTATAGGCAAATTGTTGCGCTTTTTGCGATTTCAAAAATTTCAGACATCATACCATTACTATGAATTCAACATAAAAATTTCAGTTGCAAATGTATTTACATTTCCACATTTCAAGCACAGAGTACTACTACTGTCACAGTGTCCAATATTAATCTAGTATTATCACCACTGTGTATAGTACACATCTAATGTCAAGAGTTGGACTAAAAGGTCGAATAAAATTGAATTGAATTTAATTGAACTGAACAATTGAATAGGATAACTAGGCAAGTAGTTCTGGCAAGAACTAATTGCATACTTCCCTTTGATATGGCAAGGGCTTCAGAGAAAATGTTGCATCCAGAAATTTTTCATTGCTGCATGAACATGTTTACTTTGCCATTGCCTAGCAACAATAGGGGGATACACAGACACACAGAATCTCCTTTGATATGACACAGACTGTACAGAAAACGTCACCTCCAACAATTCTTCTATTGCTGCATGTACTTGTTGCCATGGGAATGTGTCTACCAAGCAGTTGCCTAGCAATAGTGAAGGGATACATATGCAGACACAAAGACCAGTAAGAGGTATTTATGAAGTATGCCACTGAGATCGACTCAGGTACCATAATATACATACCAATTATCATAAAGATTGGTTCTATTCAGCAGTTGATAGGGGGAATACAGAGACACACAGATACATGAATACAGACACACAGAGAGAAAGATGATCTCATAAGCCTGTTTTTAATATTTTCAAAGTAAGGAAAGTAGGCCAAAAAGGGAACATGTCTTCATCTCAGCCATCTGACTCCTTCCATTTTCCAGTTACCTGAGTCATTTAAATAATTACACCAGATGTCTTTACTTGCATTTCATTAACTGAGCAATCTCAAATTCTCTGTAAATTCTAATGACATATGACTGATAATTTCAGCGAACTCATGGAAATTTAAACAATGGGCCAGAGCATTATAGGTATCTGTGTCCAAATGGAACTCTCCAAAATGTTATCTCAAATGAGAGACCCTGCAAATGGATTCAACAGCCATGGCGGTCCATAATTGTTAAGGAGTAAGTAAATTTCATTTTGTTCCAGTAATCTGAATAATGTTCCACTGATTAATTTATTGTCTTCAGACTGAGAGCAAATGGTATCTATGTATCATATATTTTATTTAAAACATAATATATTACACATTCCAATTATGAGGGCAAATGGGTAACAACATTTATTTATAATAAGGAACAGCCAGTCACCTGTTGTATTTTTTCATCAAATAAGAAATAACCCACAAAATGAACAGGAAATGGAACTAAAATGTGGGGCAAGAAAATGTGCAGGGTATAGCTAAATTCTTTGAGTCATATTTTTTGGAAATAGCAGAGAAACTCATTAAGCAATATAATAACAGAAAGTCGAATTGTCAAGTACCACAAGAAATGAATAGTTGCAATGACACTATGTTTGTTTTTCCAAAAACAGAAATTGAAATAAAGAAACGATACAAAATAATGGAAAACCGTTAGCTCATAATTTATAATTATTTATAATTTGGTGTTTTCCATTCATTCATCTGTAATCTGTCAAGACGACAGGTCCACGGTCTCTTCCAAAACAGTTCCTCCACTTGATGCGATCTAGAGCTTTCTCCTTCAAATGAAAATATCCTCTTCTGTCCCCAAGGTCATCCAGCATCTTCTTACATCTTCTTCCTCGTCTTCTGGTCACTTCTATCCACCCCTCTATGTTTCCTACAATAACTTCTTTTAGAAGGCAGTTACCGTGTAAGATATGACCAATCCAATTAGCCTTTTGTTTTCTTATTTCATGTAGGATATTCCTCTGCTCACTGACTCTAAATAACACTTCTTCATTTCTCATATAATCGGTCCAACTGATCTCCATCCTTCTCCAACACCACATTTTGAAGCTTTCCAGGTGTTTCTGATCTACTGCCCTAAGTCTCCAAGTTTCAGCTCCATACAAAGCGATACTCCAAACGTAGCATTTCACTAGTTTCTTTCTCAAATTTGCTGGTAAAAAGATTCTTCTTCTTGCTAAATGCAGCTTTTGCCATGGCAATCGTGTTTTCCATGTAGGTTTAAAATTGCAGAAGTAAAATCACTTTATAAAAAATGAGATAAGAATGTCGTGCAAAATTATAGACCAATATCCCTTTAATGTGTTTTCTCAAAAATCTTAGAGAACTTGTGTATACTAGGTTAATTTCCTTCCTATTAAGAAATAATATATTAACATAAGCCAAAAATGAATTCAGGAAACGCAGGTCATCTGGGACACCAATGTGATCCTTTCTTGAAAGCATACAGGACTGTATTGGTGGAACCCTGTTCCATCAAGGGGAAAAAAAAGAAAATAAGTGAACCAAACTAAGATGTTTTGTGATTTAACTGAAGCATATGGTGTTATAAATCATGAAATTTTACTTGCCAAGTTAAATTCATATGGAATTAGAGGTATTGCAATCTTGTGGCTTGAATCATATTTAGCATATCAGAACCAAGATGTTGAAATAAACTACAATGGTAACAGAAACACAGATCAAGGAAAATATGTTTCATCATTACAATAAATTAAACATTATTTTTGTTTTAATTTGCTTAGTGGGGGGTGGAGTCCAACTGGGTCCACTTGGCATGGTGGCCACTGATTGGCCTATTGTAGCCTGCCCCATGTGATTATGATGATGGAGAATTTGGTGGAATGAAGATTGGCCGGGGAAACCGAAGTCCTTTGAGAAAACCCACCCAAGTGCCACTTTGTCCACCACAAATCCCACTTGACCAGACCTGTGATCGAACCCGGGCCGCCGCGAGGGAAGCCAGCTACTAACCGCTTGAGCTACGGTGCAGCCAATTAAACATGACCTTCAACAGGGTTCAAATCTCAGACAAATGTTTCTTTTCTTATACATAAATGACCTACCAATCAAAGAGGTGAAGGTAATTTTATTTGCAAATGATAGAATCCTATTATTAATAGCAGAAAATGGACAGATCCTCCAGCAGAAACTAAATAGGGTTATGAATGATTTGCACTCATGGTTTTGTGCAGATAGTCTTATACCAAACACTGAGAAAAGAACATCAGCGTCATTCGATTCTAGGCAAGAAAGAGATCCAGCGAATCTTCAAACCCAATTTGGCAGTATGAATATTGCTTAAAAACCCAAAATAAAATTCTTAGGCATACACATTAGTAAATATATGAAATGGGATACAGATGTAAGGTCACTATTCTCCAAAGTCAGTAAATTTTATTATAGCAGTAAGTCTTTTAAGGATATGATGAACCCACATGTTGTAAAGAGTATACAGATTTTGCATATTTTCATGCTTATTTGAAGTATGGTTTAATTTTCTGGGGTGGTGACTTAAAATGTAAAAGTATATTCAAATTACAAAAATAAGTTTATGAATAAACAGTTGTCTGAGGAGATCTACATCATGTAGGCAGCTTTTTATGTTTTTTTAAGGTTAACACCACATATACACGGTGCCAAATCCCAGAAGACTGCTTTCTTCTCAGCTTTTTAAGGATTTACATATACTTCCCATACCTTGCATGTATATATCTGAAATATTATAATATACCATATGAAACTACATGCAGGGAAACTGGAAAGAAAATGCTGCAATTCATAATCATAACTCATGCCAAAATTTGAGCCCCCACATCCAATTTTTTAGAGCAAATGCTTCTCAGGAGTGTGTAATAAGTATGGGAATTAAATTATGCAACACATTACAGAATAAAATTAGGGAAGTTAAAAAAAGTAAGCAATTTAAAACAGAACTGAAATCTTACCTATTATAAAGTACATTTTACTCTGTATATGAACATGTCATGTTAATTAGCAGAATATGATATTTGAATTGGTTTGTTTTTATGAATTGTGTCTGTACTGAATGGTAGTATGGAGAAATATACACGTAGTTAAAATGTTTATGTAATTTTAGACATGTATGTAAGATATATCCTATATCAGTAGTTTGACCAAAAAAGGATTAATACGTATTATATTGAACTGAACTGAACTGAACCGAAGGTAAAGAAAAGACCTGGCTTGAATATTTTATAATCCAGTGCATCTGTTTCCTATTGAGGACCTCCATTATCAATTCTAAAGAAGCAATGATTGTCTAATTTGGGGGATGCTGTCCCTTTTATAATTCATGTTAAACTGTACACTGCATTTGCTGTGTAGGATATTAATAGGAGAGTAACAGAATCTACCTAATGAGTACTCTGACCTCAGAAATGGATTCATCTTGCTGGTAAGACAGTGGCCAGAAAGGTCACTAAAGCATACGTGTTGGAAGAGGGAGGGATCTTTACCCAGCATAAAAACACATGTATCTGTGACCTTTGCAGATATTGGCCAGATATTTATAATTTCCTCTGCTATGAGTATAAAGAATTAAACGACTCTATTATTTTTTCTTACATAAGTATGAAGTGGAGAATTATTTTTTCATGTGGGATAAAATAAGTGTAAGTACCTGGTCAATTTTAATTATTGCATTAATAAATTTTAATTATGTAGTTATGTAGTAGCATTAAATTAGAAAGGGATGTAGCATATATGGGACAAATTAGAAATATATACAAAGTTTTGGTCAGTAAAACTTGAGGAAATAAATGATTCAGATGACCTCATTTTATATAGGAAATACTCTTAACGTGAATCGCTGAGAATAAGTTGTGAAAGTCTGGTTAAATCTTGTGGTTAATGACAGGCTTTTGTAAACACAGCAATGGCTGTTGTATAGCTGCTTATTTTGCAGTTGTTGCCTAGCAACGAGTCTACATGACACAATGCTGTACTCTGAAATAGGAATTCATGAATTAACTGTACTCTGTTCTTTGTTTTATTCAATTAACTAATCAGTAAACCGAAGAGATTTCAAAACAGAAGTTTAACAAGAAAATCATGCATGTAGCATATATATTGAGGTATGAAGAACTGTTTTTGAAAAGAAAACTGTCATATGTTATTTAAGATTAAGAGTACTTGTACAGATATTTTAAATGCTACCATTTCACTCTTCCTGTATATTTATTTATTTGTGATTCATGTAATGATGCTATCGATCATTCAGGCTATATACATTACTATACAAATGCTAGGACAATTAGTAATTAATTAATGGAAAAGAATTCTAAGGAAAGCTGTCACAGCCTAAAGTGAGGAATTATAATGGCATCTGAATGGAGAGTAAGATGAAACTCATGCAAAATTTTCAGTTGGGGCATCTTGTTCCTGGACTGAGATTGAAATTTGTACTTTAGAGACATGAAGGAGTGCTGTCTACTTGGTCATGCTGTTCAGTACCTTGTACAATCATAAAATTCTCACTTACAGTAATCAAACTTCCAAAGATCTAATGACACAATTACAGAAAATTGTTCCCACAACAAAAGCAAGGCGTTCACATACATGGATGGACACTGTGAATTATATCATAACTGGAAGTTCGAACAAGCTGCACATAATGGAAGCTTCCCTCAGATCTTTCATTCAAAAAGGTAACTATAGTACTTTACACAATGTCCTGTTCTTTTCCTGCCTTCTGAGGTTTAAAAAAGGAGATATTTCTTTCACTTTGAAATTATTTTAGATGATACAGCATATAGATCAACTGAATTAGCAGTATCTCACTAAACTGTCTCGTCTGTTAATATTCAAATCATAGAGTCATAAATTATTCTTTTTGAGGTAAGGTACACAGTACAATTTCAAACTTTGAAACAACTGTGACTCATTTGTGTTATTTATACTATAATCAATTATTAGAGTAGTGAATTGAGAAGTTAGAATTTGCTGTGGGCTCTATGCAGGTACTATTCTAGAATTATGTGAAAGACGTGAAATATTTCTAATTCGGATAAAATAAATCATGGATTTCTAATTCTGTTGAAACTAATTATAAGATTTTCTAATTACAGGCCGGGAGATTCCACAACCGGGCAACACATTGCCTTGTCGTAAACCAATTAAATGGTGCACAACTTCTAAGATAGAAAATAATAAGTGTGAATGGCTGCGAGAGGCAGCACTAACTCAAGGAATTGTTCCTGATTTGCAGTGTGTCCAAGGAACAAGCCACTTAGATTGTTCTGATATGATTAGAAGTAGAAAAGCTGACATTATTGGTATTGACTCTAATCTAGGACCCATAGCTAGTCAGTAAGTATATATATATAAATTATCATGCTTGGTGCCTCATTACTTTCCACTGTTCCATGGAAACATTTAAACACATGTAAATAGAAACGTTGGTTTCATAATCTGCTGTGTGAAGCATATTCATGGTCAGGGATCATGCCTGTCTAAATGCTACACCAGGCATCAAGAAATTCCAAACCTTACTGCCCCCTTGCAATTAAAAAAGGATCAACTTCCTCAGAATTTCACTTTAATTAATAGTAAAAATTTCAAGACACTGTGACAAAAGCTATCATTGATATTATAATTCTGACAAGAGCTTTATTACATTGTTAAATAATGTATTCGATTACATCCAGTAGCATTACTGCAGATGGCCATTTGGTTTGTCTTTGGTATCACATTGGCTCTGCACATGGTGCATACAGACGCCATAACCATAAAACCAAATTTATTCAGGACTGAGTTTTTGGAACGTTTCCAAAGAATACAAAATTTGGAAACTGGATCTCTTTCTGTCCTGAGGTGAAAGGGTGGGAAGCACCTGCTCTGTTGGGTCCATCAGAAAGAGCTAACCTCAATCACTGGACATCTTATGTCATTATAACTACAACTATATACGAAGTTGGCCGGTCATGGTAGCCGAGCGGTCTAAGGCATGCACTGTCTTCGCTTGCTCGGACGCTTGGATCGTGGGTTCGAATCCCACTCAGGGCATGGATGTTTGTGTGCGTTTTTCTGTGTTTGTCTACAGGTAGAGGCCTTGGGAAATGTATAATAAAAACACAGTGTGTTTAACAAATCCTATCAGTCAGATCAGTGTAGAAATTTCTCCCATATGTATTCCTGTTATCAGAAATTTGTATGGATAATCAGTATGATCTGACAAACTCTTCAAGGCAGACTATGTGTTTATAGTTCTGGGATTCAATTTTTGTTCTACAACTGGCACTAGCAGTAGGTGGGTATTGTAAAACATTAACATCTTCGATTTTTCCTCTCCACTGGTGTTTCACCTGAAGATGGAAACAAATGAAGTTTCAGAAATTCATGTTCTTTAGAATACCAGACAATACACAAAGTCCCAAAACCTTGTCACATGTCATGACATTTCTCAACAAATTTCATAACAGTCTGCATATTCAAGTAAGAAGTAACAGACAAACGATTTTCATCCTGATCATTGTCAGCAGATATTAATGAACTTGGTTAAGATGTGCCTTATTCCGAAATCTTCAGTTAAAATGCCCTGACATGAGTCTTAAGAAATTCCTGCTGCTTCAACTATTTCACGTGCTTCTGTCACTTTGAACTGCATTATGCAGTTGAGTTACTGATTGATCATGATTGTTGTTTGAAAGGTGTTTGGGATACTAATTACTAACGACAACCATTGCTGTTTTAAATGATGGAACAACTAAAAAAAAATGAATTTCTTTATCAGCTCAGTATTACATCTTGGAATTCTGATTACATCAACTGATAAGTTCTGGTTATTTTATTTCGAATTATTTTGCAAAGTTCAATGGGAATACATTTTGTGTACAGTTTGACACTGTTAAATTGACATACGAAGGGGGACCCAAAAATAACCGGAACCGACCTGTTGCGCGCGCATGCTTTGTAGTTACGAGTTGTGCTGCTAGGTGGTGTTAGCTGGGGGTCTCCCGCGACTGTTAGTGAGCTGGCGTCAGTCTGAGTTAAGTGGTTTGTCTGTGGTGCTCTGTTGTGTGCGTTCCTGTTTCAACCCTTTGGCGATTAGTGAGATGGCTGACCAGAAGGAACAAAGAGTGTGCGTGAAATTTTGCTTTCTGTTAGGGAAAACTGCAGCCGAGACTGTTGGGATGCTTCGGCAAGCCTTTAATGATGATGCTTTGGGGAAATCACAGGTCTACGAGTGGTTTTCCCGTTTCAAATCTGGCAACATGTCAACAGAAGACATGCCACGCCCCAGGCGTCCTTCGACAGGAAGAAATGACGAAAACATTGCCAAAATCAAACGTGCAATTGATGAAGATCGTCGAAAGACCATTGACCAACTTTCTGAGGAAACGAACATCTCATGGAGCACGGTCCAGCGAATTTTAACCGAAGGTTTGCACATGAGACGGGTGTCTGCAAAATTTGTTCCTCGCTTGCTCGGAGATGACCAAAGAGAAAACCGCGTGAATGTTTGCCGCGACTTGAAGAGTGAAGTGCAGAACGATCCAGAATTTCTTAAAAGAATTGTGACTGGCGATGAGTCTTGGTGCTACGGGTACGATCCAGAATCAAAGCAATCATCAAGCCAGTGGAAAACTCCAACTTCACCACGACCGAAGAAAGCGCGTCAAGTGCGATCCAATGTGAAAACAATGTTGATTTGTTTTTTTGATGTGAATGGCATTGTCCACAAAGAGTTCGTTCCGCCAGGACAAACAGTGAACCAACATTTTTACCTGGATGTGTTACGAAGATTACGAGAGAGTGTGCGACGAAAACGGTCCGAAATGTGGAGAAATGGGAACTGGTTGCTCCACCACGACAATGCTCCAGCCCACACAGCTTTGACGGTCCGACACTTTTTGACAAGCAACAACAGGGTGATTGTGCCTCATCCACCTTACTCACCCGACCTGGCTCCGTCGGACTTTTTTTTTGTTTCCACGGATGAAGAGAAGTCTGAAAGGAAAGCGATTCCGTGATGTGGATGAAGTCAAAGAAAACATGCTAAAGGCTTTGAACAGTATCCAGCCTCAAGAATTCCAGCACTGTTTTGAGCAGTGGCAAAAGCGTTGGGACATGTGCATTAATGCACATGGGCAATACTTTGAAGGGGACTAATATACAGTTCAATAAAAGTGCAAAAATAAAAAATAACAAAAATAAATTCCGGTTATTTTTGGGTCCCCCCTCGTATGAAGAAAATATTCATTTTGTGCTGCCTATAAATGATTTAAGCAATGGAATAAGCTGTGAATTGGCCTGGTCATGGAATAAAATGGATTAGAAATGTGTCAAGATATGTTAATCATAGCAGCTTTCCTGTGCAGTGCGATTTATCTGACATGTGAATTCAGACTCAGTATTTTTGATCACGCCCTGTACATAAACCCCTTATCATGGTATCATTTAACTTACTACATGGCAAATTTACAACAGACATGGATGAAGATGAAACTTAGATTAAGTAATGTATACTGACCTATTCTACATTCTTGACCTGGAGGATCCATGGAATATAAATAAATTTGATTCTGTTCTATTGTACAAAGCAATGCTACTGACAGGTACAGTACGCATAAATATAATATAAACAAAAATATAATAATGACAGTGCTAAATAAATGACAAAGTAATATTTTGAAGAATGCCATGTTCTGGGATGTGGCACTGTGTAGATATTTTGTTAACCGATGTTTTGGAGGAACGTATCACCTCCATCTTCAGGGCATAAGAAATCTGCGAGTGATGAATCAGCGTGAGCAGGTGTCTGTAAATGGATGTGATACATTCCTCTGAAACTTCAGTTAAAAAAATATATCTACAGTATATGGCGCCACATCCCAGAAGATGGCATTCTTCATAGTCACTGCCATGAAAACCTCAGATCTTGAGTAATATGTTGCGTGATGCTCATTCTTCTATTACACTCTACCAGGTTTTTATAATTTTATCTTCCTCACCTTTATACTCTGAAATAGACAGACTGGTTAAGTAATGCAACCTGAAATAAACTAAACTAACTAAGCAACAAATTAATTTAATTTAACATTGTACAGAAACTTTTGTGGTATCAGTAATTTCCTTTGAGTACTGATTTCAGTAAGTGTACTATTATGAGTAGTCATGAAATAATATTGATCTGGACTTATTTAGTCATGAGCCAATCTAAGAATTTTAAATTGATAAGTATTCTCCTTGGCTTCCATTCTCCTTCCATTTGTGTCAGATATCTTGGTTTAATTATTGTAGCAACAATGGAGTACAAACAATACAATACCTTTTCTCAGCTAACCTCTCAAATACGTATTCTCTTTAGCACTTTATTCTCAAAAACAGTGCTATTCATTTCCATTCTTTCCTAAAAATTAACATCAAATGTTGTATGCTTGATAACATGCATTTCTAGACTTTGCAGTAACCTGGACTCGTCTTGAACTTAATATTTATCACGTGATTCATAGTTATTCTGCTAGAGTGCCTTAATTTATTCATTTTAATTTTCTGTTTTAATCTAATCAAACTCCTATTCTTAGGCTTTTCCCTGTTCTTCCTAGAGAACTTAATGTATAATGTATTACGAATGGTAATAGGATATTAACTATTTCTGGATATACTGTACAAATGATAAGAAATTTTGAATAATATAACTATGTACACATAAAAAATTGGAGCTGGGATAGTGTAGTCAGTATAGCAATTAGCTACGGGCTGGATGACCGAGGGGTCAGGGTTCAAGTCCCAGTAGGGTCAAAAATTTTCTCTTCTCCACGTCATCCAGACCGGTTCTCGAGTCCACGCAACCTGCTATCCAATGGGTACCAGGGGTTCTTTCCCCAGGGGTAAAGCAGCTGGCGCACAAAACTGAGCACTCACCTCCAGCTAATGCTGAGGTCAAGAAAATGTGAGTCTATACGTCCACTCTCCAATACACCTTCGTGGCATACTGCTTAATTAGTTAAGCACAGGGACAACTTTATCTTTCATTCATATATAGTTAGGTTTAGTGTTGTGTACTTTGTTCTGGGAACATGTTTTTTATATGCAGTTTATGTCTAGATTTTTTCCTGAATCTGATCTGAGAGTATGTGTATTCTAACTTGTTACACATCCTGCTTACTAGGATATGTAGAATGTTTGTATATCAATCAGTCTATAAGGAACTGCTTCCTAAATTGACTCTAATTTCTTGGTTTTATTCTGTCGCATTTAGTTCCTACAATCTCAGAACTGTAATGTACCAAGAAACTATAGAGGATGGACACTTCAAGGTTGTGGCAGTGATTAATTCTAGGACTGGAGCAGCTAATTTGACAGAACTGAAGAATAAGAAAGCCTGTTTCCCAGAGTTTGGAGGATTAGGTAAGAATCATATTTTTAATGCATATTTAAACACCTAAATAATAATTATACTTTCCTGCACCAGTTTCTCCTGTGTTATGTTAGATAATATATGCAAGAACCAAATTTTTGGAACGGTTACAATTTGGTTACATCCAGCATCTTGCTAATATGATGTAAGGAAGCCAGACATTAATAGTTAAGTTAAACTAAGAATTACTGGCTTTTCAGACTTTGTCCATCGTCAGGAAACTAGAAAAAACGTTTCAGAAATTATGAAGCACACATATTTATGGAACTATGATAGAAAGGGAGGTAGAAAAATATGTTACATACCTAGCCAACAAAATCAAGTGCATGAACACACATGCATAGAATGTGCATGCTTTATCACAATTATTATTGGACTTTTTCCTGTTTTCTCTCTCTGAATTAGCCTAGTCTCAGGTAATTAAATAGCTGTAGTGAATCTGACAAGGGATGTCCAGTGACTGAAGTTCTAAGGAACCCAACAGAGTAGGTGTCTCCACCCTCTCACCTGAGGATGGAAACAGGTCCAGTTTCTGAAATATTGTGTGTTTCTAGTTTATAGATTACCAGATGATGGATGAAGTCCAAAAACACAGTAGTTCTGTGTTTTATACACCACTGTCAGAACACTTTAAAATCTGGTTATTTTTTTTTAACTTATGGAGCTGAGCCCTTCCTGAGAAGCCAAATCTGCAGCTACTCAAGAATTTCTCAGCATTTTATGGAACCCAAAGGGGCATTACCATGTTCACAAGAGCCCTCCACTGGTCCCTATCCTGAGCCAGATCACTCCAACCCATACACTCCCATCCTCTCTATCTAAAATCTATTTGAATATTGTCCACCCACCTATGTTTTGGTCTTCCCAGTGGGCTCTTTCCTTCTGGTTTTCCCACCAATATCCTATATGGATTCCTTTTCTCTCCCATTCATGCTACATGACTTGCTCACCTCATCCTCCTTGACTTGATCATTTTAATTATACTTGGAGAAGAGTACAAGTTATGAAGCTTGTCATTATGCAGTTTTCTCCAACCTCCTGTCACTTCATCCTTCTTCGGTCCAAATATTCTCCTCAACACCCAGTTCTCAAACACTCTCAGTCTATGTTCCTCCCTTAATGCCAGAGACAAAGTTTCACACCCATACAGATCCACACGCAAAATTATAGTTTTGTATAATCTGGTTGAGTTACAGTTTATAAATGAATGCTGTATACTCTTCACTGTCTTCTAGTGGATTGTCTGCTGTGTGAGTCATCAGAGGGAAATTTTTTAAATATTATATGGATTTTTTCATTGTGTTACTTAAATATTGAACCTTGCTACTCATTCATTCTTCTGTCAGTGCTTCAAATAATATAACATGCAATAGGAGCAATTATATGACTTATAAATCCACTATTTCTGAATTTATGACTTTCTATAATTAAGGTAGAAGGTAAAAATTTCCCTGTGCTTAATTAATCTAACACCACCCCACGAAGATATATAGGGAATTTGAGGTGTAGGTCCACCATTCTTGACCTTGGCACTAGTTGGAGATGAGTAGTCAGCTTCACGCTTCTATCCCTTTACCCCCGGGAATAAAGCCCCCAGTACACATTGGATGGGAGGCTCAGTGGGCTTCAGAGCTGGCCTGAAAGATTTAGAGAAGAGAAAAATCTCTTGCCCCTGCCAGGAATTGAACCCTGATCATCCAGCCCATTGCCCATTACTGTACCTAGTGAGCTATCCTGTCTCCTATCTTTCTTCAGTTATGTTCAGTAACTCATGATCAGAATCTGATAATTGAGAGGGCAATAAATATACCTTTAAGTTCATGCATGGGTAAAGAAATTTCTGCTGAGAAGCCCATAAGTTTCCCTATTTCTGAATGAGCTTGGTCATGAGAAATATCACACCTAACATAAGGGTGAAATCACGGGAACTGCCAGAATTATTTTCGCAGAGCGCTTCCAGATAATGTGCTTGCATAGTTATGTTTAAGGCACTGAAAAATATTTTTACATCTTGCCATGAATTTGTGGGTCACTTAATTAAACACAGGTGACACCATATTTGAAAACGTTTACAATTTTCGGTGCCAATATTTGGTATATGGGCAATTTCTCCCTTTTTTTTTCCTCCAATTTTGGGGTTTTACCTGAAGTCCAGTGAGGGAGGCAGATGCTTGGCTCCCTCCTCTTCTTGATGCCTCTGGGCATCATATATAAATATGTGGGAACATCCCACATTANTTAGAAGAAGGAAAATTCTATGTACAAGGACAACACAAGGAACTGTTCCATTATTTAATGAAAATTGAAAAAGAAGCAGATATAATTATTTATGAAAAGTATTTCAAATTTGAAGCCCTGTGGCAAATATTATGCCTTCCTTGAAACTAGATTTCCCTTGCCCAGTTAGTCTTGTTGTGGGATCTGACATAGTCATCAAATTACTGGAAGCAATACACAAATTGTGCAGCATATTCTTCTAGCATGCTCATCATCAAACTACCAAGAAACAGAGAGAAAATTCCTTCTTTCTTTGTAGAAGACTGAAGATGTCTTTAACTTAGCCAGGGACAAGCTAATGTGATGATGTTCATTATAAGATAGGGATAAATTACAGGTTCCGTAACACTTGTTCTATCATGATAGTTATAGATTATAAATGATTATTTAGGTACAATTATGATTTATATAATACATATTCATATAAGATAGGACTTTTTCCCAGTTTAGAAACTTCTTCCATAGAATACTGTTTATATCACCAGTTTCACAAAGCACTCTGTGGTTTTAGTCTTGGTATTGCTGTTGTCCACACCATAGGCAGGCCATGCATACCTTCCTCTGTGCTAATTGTATCATAGAGTTGTTAATATGTCCTTGGTTTTGGAATTACTGGCTTTCTGGACTTTGTACATTGTCCGGTATTCTAGAAAACTAGAGAACACAATGTTTTGGAACCTGTATCTGCTTCCGTCCTTGGGTGTCTTCCCACACTCACCTGAGGATGATGGACAAAGTGAAAAACCCCCAGTAATTCTGAATATTACACACCACTGTCAGAAACATTTAGCAGTTCGTAGTATGCTTGTAACTATGTAGATTTATTTTGTTAACTTATATTACTGAATGACGTGTCCAAATGTTACTATGTAGCAAAACGGATGAAAATAAAATACAAATACTCTTTGTTTGTTTAGCAGTGTTATATCATATCTAGGAATGGTGAAGTGAAAGCAACTAGGAGAAAAGTGCTGGATAGAATGTTGTGTTACTGAATTTACCTTATGTTTATGTAAATTCTATTTTTTTACTTCTGTTAGCAAACTATTTTTTGAATTGCTGATCACAATGAAGTCTGGTTGCTTGTTGAAAATAAGTTTTAAAAAGTAACTAGTAGTCAGATGCAACTTGCTTAAAATTCCATTAATTTCTCTTCGCAATTTTGAATAATGTGACAGCACTGATGTGTGGACATGTAATAACATAATGTTTCATGTTATTTTTTCTTATACAGCCTGGATTGCATGTCTGGAAGCAATCAGAAATTCATCAGTACCAGAATCTGAAGTGTGCCCATATGATGACTCAATGGGCACTTTCTTCAAATCTGTCTGTGCTCCAGGATATAAAAATCGAATTACTGGCCCTCGGGACACTGGCGATTTTAGAGACTTGTGTTCTCTCTGCAGTGAAGTGGGTGGTAAAAATGACAATAACTGTAAGTGATTTTACTGTAGATACAACTCTTTAATGACCGTCACAACACAACAAACAGAAACAATCAAGGTCAGCGCCTTGCTATGGTATCGCTACATGTTCCAGCCACTAACAGTCATCATCAGGCAAACACATATTAACAAACATATACCATTGAACTGCAGTACATTAGATTGGATACAATGTTATTAATCATTTAAAATACAGGGCTACTATAAATGATTCATTCATTTTTAAAACGTTACATTTTCCAAAGCATCACACGCACAAATATGATTGATATATAAAAATAACCGTAAACTCACCAAGTTTTCTTCACACTCTACAAATGTTCTATGTGTGCTCCTTGGGTCACACGACACACGTCCAGGCGGTAGTCTAGCTCGTTCCACACATTTTGTAGCATCATCCTGTCAGTGGTTATCACTGCAGCATCGATGCGTTCCCTCAGCTGTACTAGTGTTCTTGGCAGTGGAGGTACGTAAACACAAGGCGTTAGATCAGGTGATCTGGGGGGCCAAGTGAACAGAGCTACGTCATCCTCACCAACACGCCTAATCCAGCGATGTCGAAGTTCATTGTTTAGGTAGCGACGAACATTGCTGATTCCAAAGCAAAATGCTTTGTTTACATGGCGGTTCTTTTCCGTACTCTCTTTTGAATGCGCGTTGCACTGCTATAACAGACAAACATCTCGCATATTGCAACAAACAAAAATTCTTTTCTTGCTTTGTCGCCATTTTGTAAACGTTTGTAAACTTTGTAAAGTTTGTAAAGGCGCTGAACCCGTGCTGCCAACTGGTGTACGCAATACAAACTTGGTGAGTTTGCGGTACTTCTTAATATCAGTTACTTTATACGTGTAATACTTTGGAAAATCTAGCGTTTTAAAAACGAATGAATCATTTATAGTTACCCTGTACTTTGCGTAAAAATACAATAAGTCAGATTATAAAAAACTAAAAGTTATTGTTAAAGATGTTAAAAACATCGAATCAGTTGTTGATATTTTACTTTTCATATGTTTCCATGGACAAATTGGAAATTTGATATGGCCCATGATGTTGCAAATTAATTAATCTGAAAATGATATGAAAATAATAGTATTAAATTTTGTTATAAAGACTTAAAGAATGTCACGGACGTGAACAAGTTTGTCCCGCAAGTATAGAGTGTTTCAAGACATATGCTGGTAAAATTTACTTGTGTATGAATAGAGTCTTGGTGTTTGTATTTTGTAGATACAAATCAGTTCCTTATAAAGCTAATCAGGATTAAGAAGTTATATTTGTTTTAGTCTTCATCTCGTTATGCACTCTTCTGGCAGATGCCTTAAAAATTAGTAACATTTATGTACATTGTAGATGTGTGTATTGTTTTTCAATTATATTTTTTTTAGATATGCATTATATCAGTAAGGCTAGAAACAAAAACTGTAGCACTTAATAAAATCTGTATTTTGTGTCATGCATCAATATTTTGTACAGTGAGCTTTCTTGAGAAATTGTATAAAGTTGGATTTGAGCTATAGTGAAGTATGGGTTATATTCCACCAATTTATATCAAAGTGATATTTTCTTGATAACCAGTCTTAGTAAAAACTAATTGAGTAACATCAGAGTTGAAACGACTTCCTCCTTTAGCATCCATATTATGCAGTTTATGTAAAGAACAATAAAAAGATGTGATATTATCAAATTTATATAATTAACAGTAGAGAGGTTAATAAATATCTACAATGACACCCCTGTTTCTTTGGGCAGCAATGGGTTTTCATACTATACTGAGGAATAGTTTAAATGGAGATACTCTGATACCAGTACTAAGATTATTAAATTCATTCTATGGAAATAAAATGATACTTTAAGGGGACACCTTAAATTAAGGAACATTAAAGAGGGGTTTCACTCTATGCAAGAAAATTATATACCAAGATAAAATTCTTAGAGAGAATATAAAGGAAATTAAATGTTTATATTTATGAGGAAGAAACAAAGTTAATGAAATAGGTAAAAAACTATTCAAATGTGTTTAACAGTGTGACTGAGATTTGATGTTTAGCATATCCTATAATACCTAAACATGAACATAATTATAAAAATCAAAATGCTTATATTTCCAAGTACACAGATATAAGATAGAGACTTCACATGTTCAGAAATGTTCACTACACTGAATGTGGAGAGAAGTAGAAAGAAAAGATGGGGGGGGGGGCAGAAAGAAAATAAAAGAACAGAAAGAGAAAGAAGGAAAAAATATGCTATGTAATGGTGATAATGTATTCAGTCTGATTAGCCTTCTTTTAAAATATGATATCATGTGATTTCAGATGTTCCCTTTGTTGGTGATGTAAGTTGTGCTGCAACAATTAGAAACAAATTCTATGGTGACCTTGGGGCATTACGTTGTTTAGCATCTGGATATGCAGATGTTGCATTCGTGAATGCATACAATCTTTCAGATATTTTACGTATGTATTAAAATATTAAACTTACATACAATATAGTTAGCTAATGACCACAGTGGCTGTGCAGTCTAAGGCATCAACTGTCCTCGCTCGCTCGAACGTTGAGATCATGGGTTCAGATCCTACTCAAGACATGGATGTTTGCGTTTATTCTGTTTTTGTGTAGGTAGTGGCCTTGTGATGGGCTGATCTCTCATCCAAGGAATCCTACTGTCTCTCTTAAGATTAAGAAACTGAAGTGTAACAAAGCGTTTCATGGATGCCCTACGCTCCAAAGTGGAATATCATAAGTGAGAAAGAGAGAGAGAGACAATACAGTTATTGTTCTCTGACCATTATTCATCACCCTCCTTTTTGTAAATATCAGGATGATAGATAATGTCTGCAAAGCCAATAATTGTATTAATATACCATCCACAAACTTTTAGATTCTATTTACAGACAATCTTTAACAAATCCAACTCACAGCTAGTAAATATCTCTAAAAGATATGGATCAGAATACAGTAGCATTTTAAAGAGAGCACACCGGTGTTGTTTGTGCTCTTCGAGTGACCGAGAGAAGACAAGGATGTTGTCTAAGTATGTGAAGCAGAAGTCGAGTCCCCATAGAATGTCGTCCATGAAGCGCTGGAAGGTCTGGGTGGCATTGCTCAGGCCGAAGGACATGAATGGGAATTTGAAGAGGCCGAATGGAGTGGTGATGGAGGTCTTCTGTATGTCTTCAGGGTGGACAGGGATTTGATTGTAAGCTCTCACCAGGTCAATTTTGGAAAAGATTGAACAGCCGAGAAGCTGGTGGGAGTAGTCGTGGATATGGCGGACAGGGTAGCAGTCAGGGATGTTTCTGGAATTGAGCGCTCTGTAATCGCCGCATGGACGCCAACCGTTGTCTTTCTTGGGCACGATGTGTAGTGCCGAGGACCAGGAACTCTCTGATTGATGAGCTGTACAATCCCGCAACATGGCGTCGAACTCGGCTTTTGCGATAGCGAGCCGGTCTGGTGCCAGTCGCCATGGTCGGCAGGTTACTGGTGGGCCAGGTACAGTCCTGATGTGGTGGATGGTGTTGTGTCATATCTTGCGCTGGATTCCAGCTGGGCAGGTCAGGTCCGGGAACTCTGTGAAGAAGTTGTCGATCGGTGTGTCGTTGCTGATGTTCTTTACACTGGGAATCAGTGTGTCGGCCACTGAGGCCAGGGCTGACAGCGTCGTGACCCTGTCCAGAATGCGGTTGTTCCGACAGTCCACCAGGAGACCGAAATGTGATAGGAAGTCCACGTCGATGATGGGATGCGTGACGTTGGCCACCACGAACCGCCATGTGAATTCTCGGCGTAGGCCCAAGTTGAGGCTGAGAGGCAGCCATCCGTATGTGTGGATGGTAGTGCCATTAGCCACACACTGGTCATAGTTGGTACGTTCCATTCGTCGAGGGACGAGCCTGCAGGGATATACACAGAGGTCCGAACATGTGTCGACCAGGAACTGCCATTTGCTGCCTTTGTCCGTTATGAAGAGGCGGCCTGTCATAGCACAGACATGTGCCGCCGATGAAGTCTGCTGCATCAGTTTCCCTGCTGGCGGTAGGAGTAGGGCGGAGTACAGTTTTGCGCCCGAGCGCCGAAGCGGCGATGGTACCAGCAGGTAGTGGATGTGGTGTCGCCACAGGAGGGGAATATGCTGCCAGGCCGGTGGCTGTTGAAGGAGGGACGGGAATTCTTGGATCTGTGACCTCGGTCTCTCGGGTTGGGGTAGAGCTCCTTGAAGCGGTCGTGGAGGCGGTCCTTTCCGGTGCTGAGTGCTGCCACTGTAAGAGTCTCGTTCGGGTGGAGAGGTGATGATATCCTCCACCTCTGTGGCATACAGGTGGTCCAGCTGTGAAATCACGTGGCAGAACTTGATGCGCTCACTGCTAATGCCAGCCAATGTGAATTGCGCCTCAGCCTGGGCGAACAACTCGGCTGGTCGCTCGGGTCAGAACTGCCAACAATTTGGCCATGTCTGGGCTAATTGTAAGCAACCTCCCCGTTGTATGTGGTGCGGGGGTGGCCACCTGCACAAAGAGTGCCCTGACAAACAGAACGCTGCCTCCACTCCAGCGTGCTGTAACTGTGAATTGAAGGATGGAGAGCAACTGCATCCCGCCAACTACCGCGGCTGCAGACAAGCGAAGGAGGAACTGCAGAAGAAGAAAATGCAGAGAGCACCCAAAACCACAACGGGAAGGGTGTTCTCATCAAATATCGTTACCCCTGGAGTCTCCTTCGCGGCGGCGCTCCGAGGCAACACATCACAGGAGCAGCAGTCTCAGACTCGCCAAACACCAGTGGCAGTTCCACCAGCAGCCAC